CTCGGCCCCCGCGCGGAGCCCGCGGCCGCCTCTGCTCCGGCCGCCGGTCGGCCGCACCTAGCCGCGTTGGCAGCCGGGGCTGGAAGGAGGGCTCGGGTGACCTCCGCCCCTTCCTCGGCTCTCTCCTCTCCGCCCCCTTTTCCACCGGCCCGCAGCGGCACCGGGAGGCACTAGGGCACCGTGCTCGGAAGCCGAGGCCGTCGGGTCCGCGGCAGAGCTGCCCTCCCAGCAGCCGGCCTAGGTAAACTCATTGTCAAGCGAAAGGGCTTCTGAGGCTTCAAGATGGGAATCAGGAGAGAAGTCCAGCTAGGAGTGTTGGGCTGTCGATGGCAGGCTGAACTCAGGTCAAGTCCAGCCCGGGAGGCACGAAGGAGGCAGGTAGAAAGAGGCCGGTGTTGGAAGGAGAACTTCCCGACAGGCATCCCCTGGGGGTGAAACAGGTGTTCCAGCCGACTGCTGTGCACGGAAACACAGCCTTAGGGTCCACCCCCACAGGGAGGACCGGATCTGTTCCAGCTGCCTACAGAGTAGGAAGGGAAAGGGGCGAGATACAAGGTGTGACTGAAAGAGTCGGTGTGGGCTTAAATTTAAAAGCGTATTGCAGTAAAAGACTCATTGCCCTTATGACCCCCGAACACTTCCCCTCCTGTTGGATCCACTTATGCCATCCCTCTTGCCCCTTTCTGAACGTCCTTTTTCATGAGTGGCTGCTTCAAGGTCCCGAATCAACTCGAAACATTTACTTTTCATGGTCATTTTGACTTCGGGGAAGAGCTAGAAGTCACACGGTGTGAGATCCAGTAAATAAAGTGGATGACAGCACCCTGCAATGTTTTTCTGGGCCTGCCTTTCCCTTGGATGGCATTTATTGTATTTTGGATCACACTTCCTAAAGACAGTCACGAAAGCGAATTCGCAGAATTACTTCAGAAGGTGGCAAGAAGGATGAGACAGGTGTGCTAGAAGCCAGGTGATCCCTGGATGGATGACAATGTGTCTTTTACTGGAATATGTTTTTAAATCTAAACAGTCACCGTATTTTTAGATCACCCTTGTATATTCTTAAAGAGCATTTGCTGATAAAAGGTTAGTGAGATTTTCATGGTTATAAAAGTTCGCTCACTGGTGAGAGGATCACGGGTGATATGTACACACAAAGAGATGTTCATCTAACTAATTTTGAGGAGATCAGTGTATGATAAGAACTGTTCACTTTACTGAGGACGATGGTTTTAGCCATTTTGTACTATAATTGCATTTTTGCTGATATTACATTGATCCATTTCTGTTAACTGTTCCCATTTTTCCTGCTAAACACTATGTGAATCTATTACTGACTTTTGCTCTTTAAATTTTAGCAAAATGTGGCTACTGCCAATGTGAAAAACTAGTGCCACGTGGAAATAAATTCCACTTCTCCATTCTCAAATCAGAAGGGGCCTTAAATTCCTGGAAGTTGGAAAGGATCATAAGATGGAAGGTCAGATAAAATAAATTAGCTATTAACTGTAGAAAAGCATGATTGCACTGTTTTCTCCTGTGGTAGATCCTGAGATTTTTTAATTGATATGATCATAACTTGTAAAATAAACAGTTGCTGGGATATGGTCAGAGAATTGAATGTTTTGGTTAATCAAATGTTTTGGTTGGCAGGGAAATATTATACCTGGATGACTGGTAGCCAAAGAATAACTGTATAATAAGTCACACTCAAAATATGAATGACACAGGACACTGCCCTTTCTTTTAATGATTAATAATAATTAATCACTGTAGGTTGAAATTATTAGTTTTCCTGTATTCATTTCCACTGAAACGAATTCCTATGTGTGGGACTACTCATCCTTATCTCTCCAGGGTGAACCAATCTTGAGAACGAGGTGCCTGTGGATGAATAAGAAAAGTAAAGAGAGACGAGAAAAACAAGACAGCCAAAATTCTGGGATCAGGGAGCTTACAGCCTCTCAGACTGCCCTCCTCCAATACCAATTTCCATCACCTTTATTCAGCGAGAACCAAGGGCGTAGCCAGTACAAGTGTGCGGATACCAAATGTTTTAGCAAGGATAGTTAAAGGGTTACCCTTCCCCACATGAGACCCAAGACACGCCTATAATCCCAGAATTCAGGAGGCTGAGACAGGAGGATCAGAAACTCAAGGTTAATCCAGGCTGTATAAAGCCTTATCTTAAGAAACCCTAATAAACAAATCATTGTGTCCTCAATGCATTCTAATCAAAGAATGTCCTTCTCCACATTTTTGTTTTGCTGCAATCCTTTGAAGCATCAGTGAGAAGGTTACCAATTGTCTTCCTGTTTTTCTTTTTCTGGATGAACTTTGCTAGACTAAGAGGATCAGGCAAAGTACAATTATAATACCATGTAAAATGACAGTAGAAATTGGAAAAATAAGAATATAGTCCAAAGTCCATAACAGTGGTCAATCATCATTTTCTAACAATCATGTATATCCTAGTATATAAATCCTAATAGAATGTTAACAAACAACAATTACATATATTTATCCAGAAAATTAGAAATCAAAACGATACATAAGATTACTGCATGACAATAATGATGATATTTTGTAACATACTTAAAATTTCATTTTGGCATAACATGACCTTTTTAACCAATTATCTTAATCTAATACATAAGAAGCTATTGTCCTTTAGTGGGATACACATCACATGCTTTTGTGAAAGGTAGAGGTCTTCATCTGCAGGAAAGTCTTATCACAATAAACAGTCTTTGTTTTACATTTTGGAAGATCTGTAGATCCAGTATCATGAATACATTAACTGAAAAATTCTTCTGACCAATTGACCCAATTATTGGGGAGTCTCTCAAGAGACTATGGAGATCACTGGGGGCTCCTTATTAATGAATAAAGGTTGGCCACTCCTCTATTCACAAATTGGAGTTCTACCCAATAATTTCTCCTCATCCTAAGGACTGCAGTTAAATATCTTAATTTTGATATCATATAAACCAGCTGGTAACTCAGATGAAAGCATGCTTTTAAATCAATAACCCAGTTGTTGACCTCAAAATAAAAGGGAACCATTGTTCACTAAATGACAGACAAACATGTAAACCAGTACACAGAGAAAACAAACATCTTTACAAAATCAGAGTGCACTCAAATATATTTTTGACCAAATTGGATGATAGAAATTCTATTATAATTTTAGAAATTTATAATTTAAATAAACTAGTCAGATTTTGTTGTCAATTAGCAGAGATCTCTTAGTCAATTTTTGGAAGGAATAGAATCTTTTATCTACAAAGAATATGTACATTTTGTATTTTATCCTCTTAAGAATACTGGTGACCTTCTGTTGTTATTAATGTTCCCTGTGCGTCATATGGACTGGAAAGCCATCTGGATTCATTAACATAAATTGATGCAGGCATATATGCCCAATTCTGTAGAGTTAGTGTCTGCCACAGTGGCTATTACAGCCAACATAGCTAGAAACATATCACCTGCCATAAAGTCTTGTCCAGTGGAGTCTAACAGCTTCTCAGCATCATGGGTTCATTTCTTAAGTTGTCCCCAGGTTGGGGTTGTGTTTTTTGAGTGTTCTTGGTTGGTGTCTGAGGATGGTGCTATAATGACATCGCTCTCATTTTCTCCACCCGAAGATTCAGATGGAATCTGACTCTTTTGTGTTTCATGTCAAGGTTTAATTCTTCTAGCAGGTAACCATATTTTTTCTCCTGAATCTGTAATGACACAAGCAAATCCTCTCCCCCAAATTTGAGCAATACCTCTTTCCCATTTTCCAGTGTGAATATCTTTCCAAAAGATAGGCTGCCCTATTGGTTCTGGTGGCCCCTTAATAATGGTGGCCCGAAATTTTTCTGCTGCTGTAGTAGATGAATCTTTACTAATATCCAAAAAATTTAATGTGAATAGGGCTTTATGTAATAATTGACATGGTGAACTTCTATCCCCATCTCCCCCTTTTTGTTTTGCTAACATAAATTTAAGAGTAGCATGTGCCCTTTCAACCATACCTTGTCCTTGAGGATTATATGGAATGCCGATATAATGATTAATATCCCACAAGGCGCAGAATTGTTGGAAGGAATGTGACATGTAAGCAGGTCCATTGTCAGTTTTAATTGCTTTTGGTTTACCTATAATAGCAAAACACTCTAACAAATGATTTTTAACATTTACAAATTTTTCTACTGATTGTGCAGAGGCCCATACAAAGCCAGAACATGTGTCAATAATAACATGTACAAATCCAAGTTTTCCAAAAGCAGGAATATGTATTACATCCATTTGCCACAACTCATTACTTTGCAAACTTCTAGGATTCATTCGAGGCTGAAAAGTAGGATTATTAAGCCTTCCTCAAGTAGGGCATGATAAAATGATTTCACGAGCTTGTTGAATGGAAAGTTGAGGAAATTTTTTATGTAAACCTTTGGTATTTACATGAGTTAAAGTATGAAATTCAGTGGCTAAACAATCTGGTGAAGAAATAGCAACAAGTTATCAACTTCATCATTCTATTTAACCATGTCACCAGGAAGATGTGAATGAAAATGAGTATGAGTTATGTAAATAGGAAAATCTCTATTATGAATATTAGTTTGTAATTGGCAGAACAATTGATCAAGTTCAGTATCATTTGACAAAGTAGCTGATATGACTAACTGTGAACCATACATATTGGGAGTCTGTAACAATATTAATAGATTCTGGAACATGTAATAAAAGTTGGGTAACTGCCTGGAGTTCTGCTCTTTGTGCAGAATGAAAAGGAGTATGCCATACTTTAGAAATTCTTCCTACATATCCGGCTTTTCCATTGCTGCTACCATCAGTATAATATGTGTCTGCTGCAGATATACGTTCAGAGCTCACAATTTCAGGTGAAATCCAGTTATGCCATTTTAGAAACTGTAAAAGTTTAGAATTAGGGAAATGCTTGTCTACTTTTCCAAAATAGCCCGCAAGTCCAATTTGCCACTCATAGGTAATGCCTGATCTGTCTGTTGCTTTGTCAAGGAAAAAACAATAGATTCAGGGTCTTTTCCTCTTAACTGTCATAAGTGAGCTCGACCTATAAGCACAATTAAACCTATTTTATCTATATAAGTAGTGAGTTGCTTCTGTTCCTTGTGTGGAAGAAAAATCCGTTCTAGTACTGCTTCTTTTTGCCATAATGTAGCCATAGGAGAATGGGATGATGGAAAAATTAAGAGTATAACTGGTTTAGATAAATCTGTACGAGGTAGTTGAGCTTGACATATAAGCTATTCTACCCAGGCTAATTCTTTTTCTCCTTCTTTTGTAAGGTGGGGAGGGCTATCTAATGCTGGGTTTCCTTTAAGAGTATTAAAAAGGTGTTGCAAAGAATAAGTA